TCCCCCGAGCCCTCACCAGGGATGGGGCCCCCTCCATGATCCCCCGAGCCCTCACCAGGGATGGGGCCCCCTCCATGATCCCCCGAGCCCTCACCTGGGATGGGGCCAGTGGCGTCACCATTGGCCTCCTCGCCCTGCACCAGCTGCTTGTAGAGGTTGATCACCCGCGTGAGGTTGTCGTTGGCCTGCAGGATCTCCGCTGGGACATGCAGGAAAAAGAAGCCGGGCTGAGGGGCTGTGGGGCTCCAAGGTGGGTGTGCTGAACACCCTGCATCCATCCCAGACTGTGTGTGAGGGGAGGGCGAGAGCCTCCCACCTCATCCACTCAGGTCTCCAGGCTTTGGCCCCTTCTAACGCCCACCTCCTCTCCTCATTCTCACAGATAACATATCTGGTATATTATCTATCTTTTCTCATTAGACTAGGAGCTCCATGAGGACAGGGCTTTGCCACTTTGGTCACTGCCGTATCCCCGAGACCTACGACGCTGCCTGTCACAACCAGCCCTCAACACTATTAGTTCCTCAGGTGCCAGGACTCAGAGGGGCTGCTCAGGGCAGGAGCGCGGAGCAGGGACCAGGTTCCAGCACAAGGGGGTTGCTGAGTCCTCCTGGACGAGGGTATGAGTATGTCCAGCCCACTGTCCAAGAGGGCGCTGGGGGCAGAGCAGGAAGAGCACCTGGAACGTGGCCCTGGCAGAAAGCACGGGGCACAGCTCCTCCTTACCAGAGAGGCTGAGTATGGAGGTGGGCAGCCCTTGTATCAGCCCTGCCTGTCACCCTGGGCGGCTCTGTCATCTGGGCAAGTCGTTTCTTTTCCTGAGCCTAGCTGGAAGTGGGGACAGAGCGCCTTCCCATACAGGGTGGTGTGGGCAGTAAGAAGATCCTGTGAAGCGGCCTGGCCCATGGTGGTTCCTCGACCATGGCAGACCGCTGCGCTTAGGCTCTTTCAAAGTGAAGATACATAGAGTGCACATGAGTGGAGGGGGGCCCTCTGGTGGCAGATCTTTGCAACTGCAGATACCTGAGCTTGGACTTGGCCTGGAGACCTGAACCCCCAGCGCCTGCCCCGGGCTCACCTAAGGCCTCATCATTGTCCTCCGTGTCGCTGGCCAGTCGGAAGAGCGTGGGCCGCATCCGCTCGCAGCGCTGGTACAGTTCCTGGGGGCAGGAGGGTGGGCAGGTCAGGGCCACCTGGCGGGCCGAGCAGTGGGCCAGGCATGGGGAGGAGGCAGGCGCACCTTCATGAGGTCCTCACTGCTGCCCGGCGCGGAGCTGCCCTGGCTGTGACTCATCACCATCTCCGTCAGCAGCTTCACGTTGTTGTTCACCTCCTCGATGGCATTCACCCGCTTCGAGATCTTCTCCATCCGCTTCTGGTCCTGCGAGACGTCGGCAAACAGGCCCTGAGCCAGCATGGCCCACACCGTTCTGCAAAGGGTATGCTTGGGTCCGGGTGGAGGGCTGGCTGGGTGCGAGGTGAGATGCGGGGGTGCCCATCACTCCCAGCACCAGGTCTCTGGCCCAAGAACCCTTCCACCAACCCTGTGGCCGTGTGCTCTCCTCCAGCCGGTGCCCCTGTACCCAGCAGCCCTCTGCACTGGCCCTCTGGCCAGGGGGTTCTGAAGGACCAGGGCCTAGACCTGTGGTTACACACGACTCCTGCCCTCTTGCTGCTTGCCCCTCGAGAAGTTCCATACTTGAGAGTGAAAAAGGACCTGGTGATCACTGAGTGCCACTCCCCAGAGTCTGTCAATGCTCGTGAAGATAGGGAGCTCACAGCCCTGAAAGGCCACTGCAGGACGTGCCCGGCTCTCCTTCGTCTCGTGTGTTCATGCTCCTCCCTTGCTGAATCAAAGGAGGGGTTGTGCTGTCCTCCTAGCCATCAGAGCAGCTGCTCAGCCCTTAGAAGACAGCCTGCTGGGTGGCAGAGAGCATCCTTGGCACGAGTGCTGCAGCCCCTCCAATATGCCGAAGAAGCCCCAGCCTGGGCTCAGTGTCCATCCGACCAGCCCAGCCTGCACGCGCCGAGCCCGCGGAGCGGGCAGGGGCCACCTGGCCCACACAGTGTTCCCAGAACTTTCAGGGGGCTGCTGCCATCCGTGAACTGGGAGAGTTCATGCAAAAATCTAAACTTCTAGATGATCTTCAAAGACACCCGGAGAGTTGGTCCCATCGGGCCCTTTACATCCGCAGATGTGGGGCCTGTCCTCCCCACCTCTAGGTGTTGGGTCTGTGGCTGTTTGCCTCAGTTGCTAACCCCAAGCCTTGGGACCCCAGGTGCGAATGTTCCATCTTTTCTCATCTATGTTCTGACTTCTGCTCTGCAAACTTTCTTAATTTACACACCTTTCTGGTGACTCACAATCAATTTTAGAAGATTATAGTATGTGCCCACAACACAGATATATGTACTCACATACTTATAAACTAAACATACAGTACTCTGCCTCACTCTATAGGTGTATATGCACATGTGTGTGTATAGCATGTTCATGTATAATCTGTTTCTGTATACATTAAAAAAAAAAACCAGCTGACCTCAAGTCAATCCCAGGTCATGGCGATCCCACACACGAGAGCAGAATCACGCTCTGCAGGGTTCTGAATGCCTGGGATGGTTGAGAAGAGGACTGCCAGTCTTTCTTGCAAGGTTCCTCTGAGTAAACCTGAACCTCTCCCTTTGGTCAGCAGCTGGGCATGTTAACTATTTGCATCACCCAGAGACTCCATAAGGCGCTCTGGCGGCACAGTGCCTAAGGCATCTGACTGCTAACCAGAAAGTTGGTGGTTCAAACCCACCAGCCACTCCGTGGAAGGAAGACTGGACAATCTACTTCCATAAAGATGTACCACCTTGGAAACCCAATGGGGGTTGCTAAGAGTCAGAACCAACTCAACAGCAGTGGGTTTAGGGGACTCCACGCTAAATATTTGTTGTTGTTGTTAGGTGCCATTGCCAGTTCTGACCCACAGTGACCTTAACATACAACTGAATGAAACCCTGCCTGGCCCAGCGCCACCCTCACAATCTTTGCTGTGTTTCGGCCCGTTGTCAATCCATCTTGCTGTGGCTTCCTCTTTTGCTTCCTCTACTTTACCAAGCATGATGTCCTCCCCAGGGACTAGTCCCTTCTGATTAACATGTCCAAGTACGTGAAATGAAGTCTTGTGCCCTGTGCCCTTCTAAGGAGCCTTCCTGCTACGTTTCTTCCAAGGCATATTTGTCCGTCCTTCCAGCAGTCCGTGGTTTATTCAGTAGTCTTCGCCAGCATGAACACATCAAGGCCTAACTGGCCTCTAGCTTATTTATGCAGAGCTCATGGGAATCTTGCCACGCACACCACTGACTGCGCCCTGGAGACCAAGCCCAGCCAGGCCGGCTGGTGTCGGGATGGAGCACAGTGTTCCTGAGGGCGTGGTGGCTCCAAGGCCAATGGGAGCGTGGGCGAGAGGACGCAGCGCTCAGGAGAGGTGGAGCTTGTAGCCCAGCAGCCCGTGCCATCAGGAGACTCTCTCCAGGGCTGTTGGGCAGGATGTGGGGCAGTTTCTACAAAGGAGGCAGTCGGCCTCCCAGAAACCGGCAGGGCACTAGCTGGGGCTGCTGGGAAATTCCTCCTCCACACAGTGGCGCGGGTCCCTCAGAGTCGGCCCCTGACAGCCTTCAGATGGACCATGCAGGGCTCCCCACGCTCCCTTCCCCCCACCGTGGGGGCCCAGCTCAGCGTGCCCCTCCCACCACCTCCCTGCACTCTGTGCTTGGCCATCACCTCCTGCACCATCTCCTTGATGAGCTTGTTGGCTGCTCGGAGGTCCTCGGGGTGCGAGCTTTTCAGCAGGCGTGCCAGCATCTGCAGAGACAGTGGGCAGAAGTGTGAGGGGGCGCTGTGGGGGTGGGGCTGGAGTCAGAAGACAGGCCACATTCTGGCTCCCCATTTCCTGGCTGTGGGGCCAACGTGAGTTGCTTGAGTTCTCTGTGAAATGGTGAGAGTGTGCCGATGTCTGATGGCATTGACCGTATGGACAGAGACACAGTGTTAACGCACTTCTCACGGTGCCCGGAGACATTCATTAATGCTTAGCAAACGGGGCTTGTGACATCACCCTCGCTAGAGAGCCTTTCTGGAAGGATGTCCAAGAAGTGTAATGGCAGTTAAGTCCAAGCAGGAAATCTGAGGTTGGGCCTGGGAAGACGAGAGCTTTGCTTTGTATCTGGCCTCCTTTTGTGCTGTTTAATGGCTTACCCGTGAACACTTGCTTCTTTATCAAAAAACCAGTAAAATTATTGTCAGAAGGATTAGACAATAACATGAAGACAGGTCAACTCCTGGCCAACCTATGAGAAGTCCTCAAAGCAATCCCAGGGACACCAGGACACTGCATCTGAAGGACATGGTGGAGGAAGTACTTGGCATGGCGCCAGGCACACAGGACATGCTCAGTGAATGGCGAGTCCCCCACCATGGCTGTGCTCAGCACACACCTCTGCTCAGGGGGCCAAGGCTGGGGCAGCCAGGGGCTGGGATCACAGCTCCAAAGTGGCCCTGGCGGCCCTGTCTCCTCCAAGACCCTCACCTTGGATTTCTCCTCATCTTCAAAGATCACATTCTTGGGCCGTGGAGGAGGAAGGGGGAAGGCAGCACCATCGGGAAGCTTGGGGTCAGATTTCACAATCCCTGGAAAAGACAGGGGGTGGAAGGCTGTTGATAGGGCCCAGCCCAGAGCCGGGATGGGATGGGGATAAGGGCAGGCAGGAGGAAGGTGCAAGGTGAAGTCAGACTTCCTTGCACACACTGGCTCTCAATCTTGGTAGACCAGGGCCGCCTCCTCACCTACCAGGTCCTATGGGAGAGGGTTTGGGCACCCACCACTCTCTGAGGGGAAACCTGACCCAAACCCCCTCCCTTCCACCCAAGCTAGTCTCAGGTGGAGCCATGAAGAGGCGTCATTGGTGATACGGTCTCCTGGAGAAGGGGAAGGCACTCCCGTGACTTTGTTGGCCCAGAAGGCCCTGGGTCACCACCACACCCCGTGGGCACCTCACCCTGCTTCTTCAGCATCTGATAGGCCTCTGCGATCTTCACCTCCTCGGGCAGGCCAACCGTCCAGCTGTAAAGCAGCTCCAAGACCTTGCTCTTCACCTTCTCTGATGTCCGAGAGCCCAGGTACTTCAGGGAAGAAGGGGCAGGGAGGCCTGTGACATGGCCCGTCCCCACTCACTTCAGCCCCAACCCCAGCCAAGCCTGGCCGCCTCCCAGACTCCCTCGGAGCCTGCTGGCTACAGCTCCTCACATCCCTAGCCAACCAGCCCGGTGTAGACTGAGTTCACACTCTTCTTAGCTCCACCAGTTACTAGCTGCACCAGCACTCGTGTCTCAGCAGCCCCACGTGTTAACAGGGGATGATGAGAGCAGCATCGTGGCGAGGACGCAGTGAAGGGACACATGGAAGGCACCCAGTGCAGGGCCACTCACCGCCAGCAAGGAGTAACCCTGACCTTGGGAAGGGGTGTCTGAGGCTTTAAGGCTGGCCAGAAAAGGGGCAGCATGGAACTGCTTGGCCCTGAGCCCCACGCACACGGCGTCCCAGCCACAAACTGGGATGACAGAATCAGCTCTCCCCAGAGTCCCCTCCTGAGGGAATCAGGGACCAGGGGTCATACAGCTGCCCTGGTCAAGTTATAGGTCTGAGATAAGAAAGAGGAAGGGGGTGGGCCTTGTAGGAGGGCTCCTCAGGCCAAAGGCCAGAGCCAGGGGTGTGGTCAAGCTGCTTCATCACTCAGCAGCCAAGGACACAAGGAGGCCTCTCCTGTGTGTGGGGAACAGAGAGACCCCTGTGCAGAGACCCAGGGGGCTGCCACAGACAAGCCTGCAGGTGGTGCTCTCGGTAGCAGAGGGCCCAGGTGTCATGCTGGGGACCACTATCTATGCTCCCTATAATCACCTCCCTGCATGGCTCCGTGGCCGCCCCCTCCAGCCAGCCCAGAAGCACTGCTCTCAAGACTCCAGCCTGTCTGGAGCTCAGCTGTGTACATGAGGCCGTGAGGAGGGAGCCATGCCTGTGCCGGGTCAGAGTTCTAGGGGGCTGAGGTAGCCGAGGCCCCCAGGACTCTCAGTCACCCCACCATCCTGGATCCAACAGCAGGGCTCGCCTGGGGCTGGTATATGCACCTTGGGAGACACGACCTTGATGAGTTCATTGAGGAAGCGGAACTTGCCCACCTCGTCGTGGAACCTCTTGCCGCAGCTCTTCATGCAGGTTTCCAGCACCTGGGTGGGGGGAGGGGTGAGGGGAGCCGGGGGCACAGGACACAGCCTCCCTCCCACGCCTACAGGGCTCAGAGCCCAGGGACAGGCATTCCGAGGAGGGAAGGACCTGTGAGGACAAGGGGATTCTGAGGCCCACAGAGACCCAAGACTAGTCACCCCATGGGGACGGGTCACGGTGACCTAGGTGCCCAGCACCGCCGTGGCCCTCTGTGGCTCAGACCACATGGAATTCTTTGATTCTTTACAAAGAACCTGAACAGGGCTTTCTCCTAAGCTGTATCTGTGAAATGACAGGACTGATGTGCATGTGAGGGGAGAGAAACTAACGTGTTAAAATGAACGTGTAATTATTAAAAGAACCGTGGCTCCATCACCACCTAACATCAGCATGTGTGCCTGTGTTGTGTGTGGCCTGTGCTTGGGGCCTGGTGGAGCTATCGGCACAGCTCCAAAGCCTCAGGCCTGAGCCAGGTACCTGCCCCGTGGGAAGGACAGTGCTGTCCGCTCTCTGGGTACCATCATGGGTCGGGCGGCCAATGCAAGGCACCAGAGGCACTTCCTAGTGCCTCTCAGAGATCAGCAGCCCAGCTGGAGTGAGGACCCCTGGGTCAGGTGACCCTAAGGGGGATTCTCCCCACAAGAGGCCTAACTCTGCAGGGTCTGGGGCAGGGGGCAGCCCTCTTCCTGCCATGGGCCCCCTGGGCCCCACCCTGGCACATCTCCTTTGGGCTCTAAAGAAGAGCCTGGTGGGTGTGATCTTCAGCCTATAGGACCATGAGACCAGAAGAACTAAATGGTGCCCAGCTACCACTGTCAACTACTTGGAGGGGGATCAGTACAGGAGACCCTGGATGGAGAGGGAGAACAATGTAGAGCAAAACTCAAAATTATAAAAAAAAAAAAGACCAGGTTTGCTGGTCCAGTAGAACCTGGTGAGACCCCTGAGACTATGGGCCCTAGTTATCCTTCAGGTCTGGAATTAACTCATTCCTATGGCTTCCAGCCAAACAAGACAGGCATATAAGGTGAACATTTACACCACATAGGTACACTCCTTAGAGCATCAATCGTGGGAGAACAGAAGGTCAGTGTCTGCACAGGGAGACAGCTCGGGGGGTGGGAGTGCATGGGAGGGAAGGACACAGGGAAGAGGTAACTACGGGGAAGAAGTGGGAAGAGAGCTGTTACCTTGTGCGGAATTACAGTCAATGTCACGAGACAAAATGTGTATCAACTGCTGTATGAAAATGAATTTGCTCTCTAAACTTTCACTAAAATTAAAATAAAATGAAAAAAAAGAAGAGCCTGCTGGGACCCCAACCACCTCAGTCTTGCCCCCCCTGCCCCCGCCCGGTACCAGCCACGTGGTCCAGAGCCCTGACAGCCCCTCTCCTTTCTTCTCACCGTCAGGGCCTGGATGGCCTCCCACTCCTGCGGGGACTGAATCTTGTGCGCCAGCAGCCGGGTGGCAAGTGGAGGCCTGGGTGGGAGGTACAACAGGGTCAGAGTCACCGTGGAACATGGGTGGCACCACCCTGGACTTCAGCCCTCTAGGCTTTTGCAGGCCCAGGTCCCTCTCCAGATGGGATGGGAGCAGGCAGGGCAGGCCCAGGCCTCCGAAAGTGTGAGTCAACCCCCTGATGGCTTTACGAAGAACTATGACATGCTGCACTGAGCAATCCGAGAGGCTGGACTATATGAAGAACGTGGCATCAGGAATGGAGGAAGACTCATCAACAACCTGTCATGTGCAGATGACACAGCCTTGCGTTAAACTGAAAGTGAAGAAAGCTTGAAGCACTTACTGATAAAGATCAAAGACTACACCCTTCCGTATGGATTACACCTCAATAAAAAGACAACAAAAATCCTCACAATTGGACCAATAAGCAGCGTCATGATAAACAAGGAAAAGACTGAAGTTGTCAGGGATTTCATTTTACTTGGATCCACAATCAACGTCCATGGGAGCAACAGTCAAAAAATCAAATGACGTAAGAGTACTGGGCAAATCTGCAAAAGACCTCTTTGAAGCGTTAACAGTAAAAGGTATCACTTTGAGGACTAAGGTGCACCTGACTCAAGCCATGGTATTCTCAATGGCCTTATATGCACATGAAAATGGACAATGAGTAAGGAAGAACTGCTGCCTCTGAATTGTGGTGTTGGTGAAGAAAGTGGATACACCGCGGGCGGCCAGAAGAACAGACAGACCTGTCTTGGAAGAAGTATGGCCAGAATGCTCCTGAGAAGTGGGTATGGCAGGAGTTCACTTTCTGTGCTTTGGACATGTCATTAGGAGGGGTCAGTTCCTAGAAAATGACATCATGCTCAGCAAAGGACAGGGTCAATGAAAAAGGGGAGAGACCCTCAACGAGACGGACTGACACAGTGGCTCAGAAGATGGGCTCAAACAGAGGATGGCACAGGACTGCGTGTCTGGTTGCGTTTTACGCGGGGTCGCTGGGAGTCAGAACCGACTCGTTGCGTTTTACGCGGGGTCGCTGTGAGTCAGAACCGACTTGGTGGCACCTAACAACAACATGACCTGCTGTGACGTCAGCTCACAGGAGAGACAAGTACAGAGATGACCACAGTATTCAAAGAGTCAGTCTAGAAGCCAAACAAAACAATGTGCCACGAGAGATGGGCTGCTAGAGCTTCCTGGGAACTCAAGTGGCAAGAAACAGAGGTGACTACTCTGACCGCTCATAAAAGGCCCGCGACTAATGATATTAACAGCTGACACGTGCTGAGCACTTCCAACGTACCAGGCACCTCACAGGTATTTTCCTGCTTAACTTTCACAAGCGCCTCCGAGGCAGGCCAGGGCCACTGTCACCACTTTACCCTGAGAAACGGAGGCTCAGAGGCCGCGCTGGCTGCCCAGGAGCGCTCAGCAGTTGCCGTCCAGCTGGCTCAGACTCACGGGCCCTGCGCACACCCAGGACCGCTCCGTGGGGTTCTCAAGGCTGTGACCCTTCAGGAGCAGGTCACCAGGCCTGTCTCTCCAGGCGCCTCTGGGGGGCTTTGAACCGTTCACCTTTTGGCTAGTAACCAAGTGTTCAACTGTGTGCACCACAGGTGCCCACCCAGCTAAGAGGAAGCTGGAATTCCTCCATGAACCGTCTGCCTCCGGAGCACTACATCGTGCCACACAGCCTCCCTGCGTGGAGCACGTGGGCTGTTGGGGTTGGAAAGGAGCCGTTCCCGGCACAGGAAACGGTGTGGGCAAGCAGGCAGAGTGCACTCCTGACCTTCGGCATCACCTGGGAGGCTGCTGAGCCTGCGGGCTCCCCAGCTCCCCCCTGGAGATGCTGGTCCACGTCTGGACACAGCCCGGGGAGGTGCACTCCGCCAGCTCCAGGTACTCTGCGCACAGCAGGGTCTGGTGGCTCCTCCCAGCGGGGAGCTCTCCCCAGCAAAGCACCCGGGTCACGACAGCCTGGCTCACCAAGCTCAGCAAGGACATTTCCTCTCTGTGGGATCTTGGGGCAGACCCCTAAGCCCCCAAGCCTCAGTTTCTCCAGCAAGGCCCACCCCTGAGAGTGGCACACATGGGGCGCTCAGGGGATGGCCGCTATGTTTATTAACTTGTTAGCTCATTAAGGATGGAAACTAGGTCTCCATCCATCCGCGTCCCTGTGCCCGAGGCTGGGGCTGGTATGGGCACAGCAACTCCGGTCGAGCACGAGAACAAAAGCAGGGAAGGCCGCCTACCCCTCGAAGTCCTCATTGAGCTGCTCGCAGAAGCCGTTGATGCTGGCCCAGTTCAGCTCCTTGTTCAGGGGGTTCGTGGCTCTGTCTGCGGGAAGGAGAGGGTCAATGTGGCAACAGAGGGACTCCTGCCTTCCCTATCCCCCACCCCACAAAGCGGAGGCCCTGTGGGCATTGCGCAGGTTTGGTCAGCAGGAGGCATGAATGAGCATGGGAAAGGCCTCCCTGACTTCCTGCTCAGGAGGCCTGAGCACTGTTGCTTCACTGGGGGCTGGACAGGTGAGCTCACGCCACTGGGGTCCCCTGGCAGCTTCTCATCAAACGCCCCCTTTTAGAGACGGTCCAGGGGCACTTCCTCTACTCCCCATCACGCCTTACCCCTCTGATTCTACTCCTGAAACTATCCCACAATTCTCATGAATTTGTGCTTAGGACAGAGCCAGAGGGGAGAAACAGAAAGTCATGGTTCCGCCCACCAGGGGCAGAGAGGCCCAGAAGTGGGCCAAGGGCAGCCAGGTCCTCAAAAAAGTGACAGGAGAAACAAAGGAGCTGCAGGAACCAAGGAGGGAATCGGTTCAGCCCGAGGGCCTGGGGGCTGCCTGGAGGAGGCAACACTCGAGCAGGGGCCAGCTGTTAGCCTGGCTGGGGGCCTGGGGATGGGATGTCTTAACAGCTCAGGGGCTGTGTGAGGAGAAAGCCTGGAGATAACTGAGCCCGGGGCAGAGGACCAAGAGCCTTGGTAAACAGTGTGGATTCTCTCATCCTGCCAGCATCAGAAAACCCTGCCCGTGGGAAAGGCTCAAGACCGCCTCTTCCAGGTAGCCTTCCCTCAGCCTGACCCTGGCCTGGGTGGCACTCCTGGGTCAAATCTCTGGTTCCCCACCTGACCTTCACTGTGGCCCTGCCACCACACTGCATCCTGTCTCCTGAGGCAAGCTTGAGTGGATAAGGCTCAGCTGCTGGCAGGCAGGGGTGAGGCTCTGGGGGATGTGAATCCAGGAAGGGGAAGTGGCCAGGAAAGGGCAGACAGGTCTCCAGGAGAGGGACGGGAAACAAGACCAGATGATCATTCCCCAGCCCCCATCACTGGTTAAACCCCCACCCTCCTTCCTGAATCTCTGTCCCCAGTTATTGTCAGAGAGTAATACGGATTCTGCATGGCCACATTCTTTCCGCCTGGTAAAGCCGTGGGGACAGCCAGAGCTAGGTCTCACTACCTCTCCATATCCTGCTTCCAAGCTTCTTCCTCTCCTGGGAGGCCCTGAGCACCGGGCCAGCAGGTGTGCAGGGAGCACAGCCCAGGAGGTGGGACAGGGCAGGGTCTGTGGGCACGAAGCTGCTGGGGACCCCAGGTGTCACCTCCCCATTCAGAGGCCCTATGCTTCGGCAGGGGCTAGAGCTCCAGGATCCCAGTGCCAGGTAGCCACTCCCTCTACTCCTATTTACTCAGTAATGTTTCCGGGGGCCGGGGACACAGCAGTGACCAAGTCAGAACCTCTGCCCTCCTGGAATTCACAGCCCAGCAAGAGAAACACGGAGCGCTCAGATTCACACACACAGATACTGTATACTTCTGCAAAGCGCCCCAGAGAGAAACGAGTGAGCGGAGGGAAGGCATTCAAAATGCTGAGGTGGTCTCTGGGAGGGCTCTCAGAGGCCAGCCGAGTGGAGAGCTGAGGGAAGCGCTTTACTCTGGGCATGGAGCTCTGTTCAGGAGCATTGCAGAACTCCCGTCCATCCCTCAGAGAAACAAAGCCCCTGCTGACCGCCTGAGAGACACCAGGAAAAAACCCACCCTGGGTAAGGATGACAAAAAGGAGCCCTGGTGGCACAGTAGTTAAAGCATTCGACTGCTAACCAAGAGGTCGGCAGTTTAAACCCACCAGCCACTCTGCAGGAGAGACAGGCAGTCTACTTCCATAAAGATTTACAGCCTTGGAAGACCTATGGGGACGTCTACTCAGTCCTAAAGGGTCCCTGAGTCGGAACTGACTTGATGGCAGTGGGTTTGGTTTTGGGTTTCTGGGGGTAAGGGTGACTCTCTACTTAGCCTTCCAATGTGGTCAGAGGCTGGGGACACCAGGCTGGAGATAAAAGGAAGCAAAAAGGGCTGGATATTATCTACTCGATACCCAGCTGAGGGACCCTAAAACAGGAAGTCCCTTAAAGCATCTAAGACACGTGAGTCCACATGAGGACAGAGAGGCTGCTCTACAGGGCTCCGGAGTCAAGTGGCCGCCAGGAGGAAGCACTGGCATCATGGGACATCATGTGGCTCAGAGCAAGGTCCCAGGAGATCTGAGACTTCTCTGCCCCCCCCCCACCTGGTGGGGACACCTTCCCTGGGACACAGCAGGGAGAGCAGCCTGGGAGGGACATGGGCCCCACTAGTTTCACAACAGGGTGTGACTCCATCCTGTCACACCGGGTGGTGACAGTGTCATCATTATCCCACCAGAGCCCATTCTTTACCTCCAACCATCACAGAGGGAATTTCCAATTTTGCCAGGACATGAAGGAGAAAAATCTCAGCCTCCGTCTATCAGGGCCCAGCTCAGGCCAAACCCAGGCTTCCCGGGCTGTTGCCTCCTTCTCAGCACAGACCCTCTGGGCTCAGAAAGCCTGCCTGGTTGTTAAAGCCCAGAGGATCTGGCACCCCTCAGTGCGCAAGTCCCGCAGCCTGTCTGGGAGCGGCGGCCAGCCCTCTACCTCCCACCGTGTTGCTGCTAAGGCAGGGACACTTGTGGCGCTCGAACATTCTTAATGGCCGAGGAGTGCCTCCTTCTTCCCTCCTCCCCTCCACTGGCCTGACTCTGGAAAATCCCTGGAGACGTGTGGTTCTGGGGCCAACCTCAGGGTTCATCACCTCTGCTCGTGACTGGCTTAAAAGGAGCTGGCCATGGTCCCAAACCACCCAGGGCAGCTGGCTGGTGCGCCTGGATTCGTTGGGCTGAGCTGAAAGTAGACCCAGGGGCTTCCCTGAGGTCCAAGGATGGGCTCCAGGGGAGAAACAAACTTGCAAACAAGCTGTCACCAGACCAGGGAGAAGCAAGGCAGCAATTTACCAGGGCAGAGTTCAGGAGTGGGGCTGAGGGACGTGAGGGTCATCAGCACTGAGGGACGTGGCTCAGGTGCAGGGTTTGGGTCTCTGAACCTGAGTAGTGTGGGATGAGAAACAAGGAAAAAGGTGCCAGGAAGCTGGACAAGAACTAGGTAAGGAGTGTCTGTGAGTGTCCCAGGGGCTGGGCCCAGGGTAGTGACAAGGACCTTGGGATTACTTTTTTGCTGTCTGGGAGAGGACCCTAGCAAGCCGGGGTTTCTCACTGCGTGGCCAGTGCTTGGGGGTTTGGATAGGACAGTGAATCCTCCGTTCCTGACCAGGAAATGAACAAATCTGAGGATAGCTGGAGACTTCAAGAACAGATGGGAGGAGGTCACCGCCACGCAGGAGAGTGGAGAGTGGGGTCCCTCCCTCTGGGGTCGGAGGTACAGCCAAGGGGGCGCTCGCTTGCTCCCTCTCCTAAGGGGAAGACCTGGGATCAGCTCCTCAGTGGAGAGATCAAGCCTGAGAGGGTTGGAGGATGCTTCCCCGGTCCTGGGGGTTCTGGGAGAGAATCGGGCTCAGATCGGGGTGCACGCAGTTAACTGCCTCCTCGGGGGTCGCGGCCCAGGAATCAGATGGGGGTGGGCGGCGCCCGTTTCCACTCCCCGGCAACCCAGCCGCCAAGAGGGGGGAGGTCTTCCTTCGACCCAGGGTCCGAGGAGTATATTCCGGGCATTGCCCCTCCCGGGCCGGGGGCGGGGCGTGAGGAGGGGGCGCCTCGTACCCCGCCCCCGCCGGGAAGGGGCCCGCCTTGTGCCCCCGGTTCCGGTTCCGGTCCGGCCCGCGCCCCGCCCGGACACTCACTGATTCGCGCCTCCAGAGTCTCCGGCTCCATCTCGGGCTCCATCCTCCTCGGGCCCCCGGTCTCGGCGCCGCCCCCCGCCCCCCGCAAATCTCGCGGGACTTCGTCGTTCCTGGCCTCCGTTGATTAAAGGGGCAACGTCCACCTCGACGCGCGCGAGCGGCGCTCCGAAAGCCTCGGCACCATAGAGTCGCACACAAGCGCGCCCAGAGTGTCACCTCGCCCAACCCCACCCCAAAACGGTGTCTGGTCGCGGGCGGGACAGTCGCAAGCCTTTCTGTTCACGGCGCTCAGGCGGGAGAGGAAGCGGAGGGACAGGGGGCTAAGGGCGGCACCATGGAAACCCCACGGGACGCTCTAACTCGTTCTGCGTCACGGAGATTCCTCTGACCGCTTCCGGAAGAATATTCGGTGGCCATGTTTCTGAGGGGCTATGAACTCACTTCCGGAAGCCTGAGCGATACTTCCGCTTAGATGCGAAAGTGGGCAGGTTCCTTAAAAGGGCTATGACAAGCATTGTCCGCTGTGAGATGTCCAAAATAAATAAGTTTGCTGAGTCCTGACATTGTTCTAAGCACTTTTTTTTTTTTAATACAGAGAAAATTCGTTCTCCATTCAACAGTTCATACACATTTTGTTTCATGACACTGATTGCAATCCCCACATTGTAACAGTGCCATTTTCTCCCCATAGTTAGCTGTTCCTGTGTCCTTTCCTATGCATTCCTGCTACTGTTTGCCTGGAAACCAAGGGAGTGACTTCAATTCTAGGCCTGAAGGGTGACTAGGAGCCATAGTCTGGGAGGTTTCACCAGTCTCTATCAGACCAGCAAGTCTTGTCTTTTTATGATTTTGAGTTTTGTTCCACATTGTTCTCTCACTCCATTCAAGATCTCCTGCCCTGATCATTTCTGAGTAGTTGACAGTGGTAGCCAGGTACCATCTAGTTCTTCTGGTCTCAGGGTCAGATAGGCTGAGGCTGGCATGGTCCACTTGTCCCTTGGACTAATTGTTTCCATGCTTGATTTTCATTCTTTGCTCCTGACGAGGAGAGACCAATTGTTCCATCTTAGATGGCCACTCACAAGCTTTTAAGACCCCAGTTTGTTCTAAGCACTTTTTATGCATTCATTCATTTACTTTTCACAGCAAACCCAGGAGATAGGTAATTAATTTGCCTTCAGTCACACAGGGAAGTGGCAGAGCCTGAAGGCTGTACCATCTTCTGTGTTTATTCTGAAAACATTTGACAAATTCTTTGCATTCGCAGGCTCTGTGGTATGTGCTGGGAGAGGAAAATAATGGCAGATTTTATTATACAATGTGATAGGGGAAGCCCCACCCCAAATTGGAGCTGGAAGGAGTGCATCAAGGAAGGTTCACAAAGGCACTGATACTTACCTGAAAGACAGTACGAATTCTGCAGGTGGACCTGGTGCACAAAGCTATTCCAGGTGGAGGGAACCAAATGATTCGGGGCTTACAGGGGAGGAAGAGTAATTCAGGGAATTCAAAGTATCTCATGCTGCTCCAGAGGAAAGTTGCAGGAGAGATGGTCTGGAATCACCGGGGGCAGGGTCACACAGTGGGGGCTGTCGTGGTTCCGTGGTAGAGTTCTCTCCTTCCATGGGGCGTCCCTGGGTTCGATTGCTGGCCAGTGCACAGCCACCGCCCATCTGTCAGTGAAGCCTGGTGGGCTGCTGTGATGCTAAACAGGTTCTAGTGGAGTTTCCAGACTTAAATGGATTGGGAAGAGAGACTTGGCACCTGCTTTCAAAAATTAGCCAATCAGAACATCATGCATCACAGTAGTCTAATTTCATCCCGTCGTGCATTGGACCACCATGAGCCCCGACTCAACAGCAGCTAACTACAAAATCAGGAAGGACCTATATTTAGTGTTTCTTCTGTAGGCAATGGTTGTGGGGTGACAGGATCTTGTTTCAGAGAAGTTGAAGCGGCAACAGTGGAAAGAAAATACCGCAGGGGGCCAAACTGAAGACAGGGAAGGCAGACGGGACACAACTTCCAGCCTGGGTGCCTTTTCTCCTGCCTTAGCTCCTTTCTTAAGACTCCGCGCCTTTTACACTTGCGGGAGGACCTCCCGGTGACTTCCCGCCCCAGGAGAGCCCTGTCTTCCTGCTTGCTCTTCTGGGTCTGCTGCACTCCGACGCCCCCTGGCGGTCCGCTGGGGAACCGTCCTGTGGCGCCCGCTGGAACCGCTCTGCCCCCTGGAGGGTTAAAGCGAGACCGAGACTGGGGAGCCGCGGGGAATCCAGTTCGGCTGGGCAGTCGCCCCGGGCGTGTGACCTTGATTCACTTTGCAGAACCGCAGTGACTTCATCTGGAAGATGAAGACTTTGCTCTGGGTCAGTTTTTTTCCCTAAACGCAACCATTCAGCAGACTGGGACGCTTTTCCAACTTCTCCCCCGCAGGCAGTTACAATTACACAGGAAACTGCTACGAATGTTTATTGCATTCCTCAATTGGAACTGTAACTCAATACGTACTTGGAGCTTTTTTTATTTGTTTCTTTTGTCCCTGAAATGAATTATGACTGCAACAAAACACAAACCACATGGCCGCATTGATTTTGGGGCATATACACCCTGTCAGATGTCACTGTTCAAAGACAGCATAGATCTGGCCTGGGTTCAAATTCTGACTTTTTTGCTTTCTAAACCATATGACCTTTAGGCAACTCAAGTACCCTCTAAACAGCTCTGAGAATTCAAGGAAAGGGTTTCTGCAAAATGAGTCCCCCAACATGTTCCCCCTACCCACCTGGTCCCCCCTGAACTGTCTCCTCAGGGCTTAGCTCCAGGCCCCACCCCCACAGCCAAGGCCTGCTGCCCAGGGCCCCCTGAGAGCCTCTTCCAGCCTGGGCTGAGAACACAGCCTGGTCAGCTTAGGCGGGCTGACTTGTTTCCCTTCCTCATTGGGTTTTTTGTGTCCCTCTCACCAGAAGCGAAGCTCCGAGTTGTTGTTTTGTTGTCGGTTGTTGTCAGGTGAACTTATGTGTAACAGAATGAACCATTACCCACTTCTGCACCATCTTCAGGATCGGTGGTGTGTTTGAGTTCATTGTTACAGCAATTGTGTTAGTTCATCTCAAAGGTTTCCGCCAAGAGGGCTAGAAATGTCATCTGTTTGGTTCAGCGATGTATCTCCAACCCTGAAAGAGTATTTGGCACATAATCCACAAAAACCAAACTCACTGCGGTCAAGTTGGATTTGACTCATAGCGACCCCTCCTTGGATTTCCGAGGCGGTTATTACTATGGGGCAATCTACTTCCGTAGTAATACTGCCTCGGAAACCCAAGGAGGGGTCGCTGTGAGTCGGGTCTGACTCGACGGCACATAACAACAACATTACTATGGAAGTAGATCGCCCAACCTTCCTTCCAAGGAGTGGCTGGTGGGTTTGAACCACCAGCCTTCTGGTTAGCAGTCAAGTGCCTTAGGCACTACGCCACCAGAGCTCCTCAGTGGAACAGAAGGCCCCTCCTAATGTAACAATGACGACTGCCATGTTGGAGTTCCTGTGGTAGATCGCCACCTTCCCTTTGGGAGAGCCTGGTTCAATGCCCGCTGATGCACCAAGAGGCTTGTGTGTTGTATCCTGAACAGATTTCGCTAGAACTTCCAAACTAAGGACTAGGAAGAAGGCCTGGCACTCTGCTTCTGAAAATCAGCCAGTGAGAATCCTGTAGATCATCATGGACCAATCCACAGCCAGTCCTGGGGATGGCAAAGCACTTCCTTCCTTTGTGTTTGGGGTCCCCTGAGTTGGGGGCTGACTCCTGGTAACTAGCAACAACAGTCACCATGTGGAACTTCATTGAGCATGAATTGAGTCAGTGGGTACCGCACGCTAGGTATTCCAAATGTTATCTCTAACGCTCTCAGCAATGGAGGCTCAGAGAGGTGAAGTGACTTGATCACACAGCTCTGCTCTCTCTCCTACCCCCAAGCCCTTCCCTCCATGTCATACTTCCTAGTTCCTAAAGATCATACTTACTTCTGCACATACTGTCACCTTAGTCTTGGGGACAGTCCTCCTTGTTCTTCAGTTCCCAGTCACAGTGCTTCCTCCACCCCAGCACAATTGGTCTCTCTCCTCTGCAGCACTTGGAACAAACTATACAGATCTTGTAACAGCACCACTGGCTCACAGCTCCCAGGCTGATTGTTTTTGTGGCACCTTTGTGATCTGAAATTGTTTTGTTCATTCATGCGTTTATTCGTTTACTAGAATGTAAGCTCCATGAGGGGGATGCCTTGTCTTATTCACTGCAGTATCCCTGGCTCCTGGTACAAAGGTTGGCAACTGGTGGAGAGTCAAAAATTTACTTTCAGGTGTAAACTCTTCTTCAGTTACTCTGTAAACCTCATGGCCCAGAGCTCAAGGAATGAACGGTAAGTATCTGTCCATCAGCCAATCAACGAGGGGCAATATTTGCATACTGCCTTCCTAAGGACTGGGAAGAAGGCCTGGCACTCTGCTTCTGAAAATCAGCCAGTGAGAATCCTGTAGAGTGTGTTGGTGGAATCTGGGACTGTAGTTTCCATTAGACTTGTGGGAGGTGGCTTGTTGTTGTGTGTATCTAGACTGTGACTCTTAGTGATGCCATGTGACAGAGTAGAACTGGCCCATAGGGCTTCCACGGCTCTAGTCTTTACTGGAACAGATTGCCAGGTCTTCTGCAGAGCTACTGGTAGGTTCAATCCGCACACATTTTGGTTAGCAGCCAAGTGTTCAACCCTTGAGCCACTAGGGCTCCTTCCTCTGTGGCTACATTCCCTCATGCTCTGTCAGCCAGATCTTCCCACTTGGTGGAAAGGTGGGGTGAAGGTGCAGGGGTGGCAAGGGTGAGCCGAGCTACCCTACAGCCCCTTCTCCTACTCATCTTTGGATTAGCACACGATTTATTCACCTGCACCTCTGCCCCAGCCTAGGATACCTGGGCATCCAGGGCCAGCAGAGGCTGATGTTACAAAGAGCTAGGGCAGAGGGAGGTCAGGATCAGGGTCCTGCTGCACGACAGAGGGCGACCACACCATGCAGTCAAACCTGCAGGCCAGCCTGTGTCACCTTAAACACGTCTGTCTGAGACCTAAGGTTCTTGGGAAACCAGAGCAGTCCAGTGCAGTGGTCCCAGAGAGCAGGGGCCAGCTGAGCACAGCACATTCCTGGGCCACAGCCCCAGAGAGTCCAAGCGTATCTGATCTCGCCCAGGAGCCTGCATTCTTACCTAGCCCACCAGGGCATTGCGACACAGGTGTCATCTGCAGAGAAAAGCAACGGCAGAGTACGCCAAGTGCAACCTTGCAAATCGAACAGCACTTGCTCCCACTTACTCGTGGCATCAGTCAAGATTTTCATTTTTAACTGCTCCAGGCCTCAGTTTCCTCCTTTGCAAAATGGGAAGAAAGACCTGGAGAGCTATTTCTGCAACTAACCGGGGACACCGGCCAGTGCTTTGTGGATCACAACAGCACATCGTGAGAGAGTGTGCTGGGAGATGGGTCTCCAGGTTGGAAGGTACTGACAGTACACAGTGGCCGTGACCATGGACTCCAATGTACCAGTGACCGTGAAGATGGGGCAGGAGCGGCAGCACCTCCTTCAGTGGTACACGGGGTCGCCATGAGCCAGAGTTGACATGACAGCAACTGAAATCAACAACAAATGCCATCTCAGAGAACAGGTGTGAGGCTTGGAGACAGACACGCAAAGGTCTAGGCACACGGCTGATGAATCAACGAGTGTGTCAAATTACCTTGGTCGTGGAATCAGAGCAAAGATGTGAAACGAACTGTCCGAGGGAGAGACCCTCCCACTGGACCCCAGGACATGGAAAAAGCCAGTGAACGTGTCCATGTCTCTAGTAGCCACCAGCCTCTTCTCACACACAAGAATCAGCCTGGTCTCTCTTGGACCAGTGTATTGTTTTTTAAAAATTGTTAATTGTCCTCTGGATGAAAGTTTATAGAGCAAATTCATTTTCCGTTCAAGTTCATACACATTTTGTTTCCTGACATTGACTACAATGTAACAGTTCTCATCCCATTTCCTCCTTGTGGTTACCTTTTCTCTGCGTCCTTCTCTCCTGGGCATTCCTGCCCCCTGAGCTTTCTCCCTGTGCAAATGCTGCCCTTCTGATCTCCCCCAAATCGTGTCCTTGCTGTCCCCTCATTTCCAGCAATTCAGACGTTCTAGGACAGCACTCACTGAGGATAACCGGTCAGATCATCTTCTGTGACGTACGCATTTATATTTTCACTGGATTTATGTTTCCTTCCACCTGAAAGGTCATTCTTTTCAACCAAGAGAACTGATTAAATATACAAGGAAATGGGGTTGAATTGTAACACTTCGTAAAGCATTTCATTTCGGTAAGGTCATAACTCAGGGGAAAAAAATCTTCCTTCCACCACGTGGTCTACCCCTGATTCAGAAAATATGAGCCCCCTCTTTGTACCTGCACACGTGGGACCATGTATCTACACACATGACCCAGCATGCATACACGTGACCCACATACACACACACCTGACCCCTCAACCACACACATGTGACCCCGCATCCACACATGTAACCCAGCATCCATACATGACTCAGCATTCACACACACATGACTCAGCATCCACATACACGTGATCCAGCATCCACACACACATGACCCAGCATCCACACACACATGACCCAGCATCTATACACACGTGACCCAGCATCTACAGATATGTGACCCAGCATCCACACACTTGTGACCTTGCATCTTCTGATGCTTGCTCTCTCTGCAGCCAGCAGTGGCACTGCGAATCATGGCTAGGTGCAGAGATCCAAGCATGAGTTCAAATCCTATCTGTGTTCTTAGCTGCATGATCTCAAGACCTTTGCCCTTGCTGTACCCTCTGCCCAGACCCCCTTCTTATAGCTGGCTCCTTCTCAGGGCCTAGCTTAGATGTCAGCTCCTCAACAGGCCTGCCCAGCCGCTCCGAGTGGCCCCCCTCCTCTCTTCTCAAGCCCTCGCAGTGCAGTTGGGAAGCCAGCCTCTTTCTAATGAGCTCCATGTGTTTGGCTTGCTTTGGTGTTGTCCATCCTTTGAAGGCACAGACCTGGTCTTCTGTGGTCCTTGTGATGGGGGCTGCATGGGACCTTGACCAATCACATCCTCACCCAGGGCCTCCGATGTCTCATCTGTGAAACAGGGAGAATAACATGCAACTCTGAGAGCTGCGTGGTGTGAGGACTGAAGGGGGCAATGGCAGCTGTGGTCCTCTGTGCCCCTTCCCCAAGGGATCTACCTGCAAGGCCGGTGTGAGACAGGATCTTGCTAGGGCTGAGGGGGCTGGATAGGGCCACATGTCAGTTGGTTCCTTGGATCTTCTGTAATTCCCCCCATGAAAGGATTGGGCGCCTCCGCTAAGCTCTCCCCCAAGTTCTCAAGGATGCCCACCTTCCCATTTCCTCTTTCCTCCTCCCCCACCTCATCCTCAAGAGAATTTCTAAAGGTGGAGTGGTTTTACTGGGAAGGGTCTGGGACATTAACCCCTTAGAGGTCAACATGAGTTAGTTGATTGTAGCTACTCAAAGACAGCCCATCTTTACTTACCCCACTCAGTGGTTCTCCAAGTCTCTCAGAGCAAGGACATATTTGCAAATGGTGGAGAAGGGGTAAGAACACATTCCTAAAGCCTGCATTTCCTATTTCCTATTTCCTGAGTTCCTCCTTCCTTTCAATCTCCAAGGATGATTTTATCCCAACTCCTCTCCATCTGCCACTGCTCATCTGTCACCACTCGTCTGTCAGTCTGTCTACTGTGGTGGCCTACATGTTGCTGTGAGGCTGGAGGCTATGCCACCGGTATATCAAATACCAGCAGGGTCACCCATGGTGAACAGGTTTTACCATTTTACCAGTGCTTCCAGACTAAGACAGACTAGGAAGAAGGAAGCAGCCATCTACTTCTAAAAGAATTGGGCAGTGAAAACCTTATGAATGGTAGTGAAACACTGTCTGATATATTACTGGAAAACTTTATGAATAGCCCTGAAACATTGTCCAATATAATGCGAAGATGGGCTCCTCAGGTTGGAAGGCACTCAAAATATGACTGAGGAAGAGCTGACTCTTCAGAGTAGACATGACCTTAATGATGTGGGTGCACTAAAGCTTTCAGGACCTTCATTTGCTGATGTGGCACAACTCAAAAGGGGAAGAAATAGCTGCAAACATCCATTAATAATCGGAATGTGGAATGTACGAAGTATGAATCTAGGAAAATTGGAAGTTGTCAAAAGGGAAATGGAACGTATAAAGATCTATAGTTGAGCTGAAATGGAAAAGTTTGGGTCATTTTGAATCAGACAATCATATGATCTACTATGCCAGGAATGACAAATTGAAGAGGAATGGAGTGGCATTCATCGTCACAAAGAATGTTTCAAGATCTGTCCTGAAGTACAGTGTTGTCAGTGATAGGATAATATCCATATGTCTACAAGGAAGACCAGTTAATACTACTATTATTCAAATTTACACACCAACCACTAAAGCCAAAGATGAGTAAATTGAAGATTTTTACCAACTTCTGGAGTCTGAAATTGACCAAGCATGCAATCAAGATGTATTGATTATCACTGGTGATTGGAATGCAAAAGTTGGAAACAAAGAGGATTCACCAGTAGTTGGAAAATATGGCCTTGGTGACAGAAATGACACTGGAGATAGAATTTTGCCAGGCCAACAATATATCCATTGCAAATACTTTTTTCAACAACATAAACAGCAGCTATACACATGAACCTCACCAGATGGAGTATACAGGAATCAGATTGACTACATCTGTGGAAAGAGGTGATGGAGAAGCTCAATATCTTCAGCCAAAACAAGACCAGGAGTTGACTGTGAAACAGACCATCAATTGGTCATATACACGTGCAAGTTGAAGTTGAAGACAATTAAAACAAGTCCACAAGAGCCAAAGTATGACCTTGATTATATCCCACCTGAATTTAGAGACCATCTAAAGATTTGATTAATTGAACACCAATGACTGAAAACCAGAGGAATTGTGGGATGACATCAAGAACATCTCCATGAAGAAAGCAAGAGGTCATTAAAAAGACAGGGAAGGGAGAAAAGACCAAAATGGACATCAAAAGAGACTCTGAAACTTGCCCTTGAACAGAGTGTAACTAAAGCAAATGGAAGAAATGACAAGATAAAACAACTGAACAGAAGATTTTAAAGAGCAGCTTGAGAAGACAAAGCCAATTATTATAACGAAGTGTGCAAAGACCTGGAGTTAGAAAACCAAAAGGAAAGAACATGCTTGGCATTTCTCGAGCTGAAAGAACTTAAGAAAAAACTCAAGCCTTGGGTTGCAATATTGAAAGGGTCCATGGGCAAAATATCGAAACATGTAGAAAACATCAAAAGAAGAAGGAAGGAATACACAGTCACTGTACCAAAAAGCATTGGTCGATGTTCACCCATTTCAGGAGGTGCCACATGATCAAGAACCAATGGTATTGAAGGAAGAAGTTGAAGGTGTGCTGAAGGAGTTGGTGGAAATAAAGGCTCCAGGAATTGACAGGATACCCATTGTGGTATTCAACAAGTGGATGCCGCATTGGAGGCACTTACTTATCTGATGGCGCAGTGCCTAAGGCATCTGACTGCTAACCGGAAGGTTCACAGTCCAAACCCACCAGCCACTCTGTGGAAGGAAGACTGGGCAATCCAGTTCCGTAAAGAATTACCACGTCAGAAACCCAAAGGGGGTCGCCATGAGTAGGAATCATCCTGGTGGCAATGAGTTTGGTTTGGTTTTTGGTTTTCTCTCCATCTTCAGGTTGCTCATTCTGTATGGCCAACCCCGACCCCTAGGCTGTCCAGCCCCCCTGTCCAGCCACAGCTCCTCAGGACTCATGGAGGGGCTGCCTCAAGCTATGGTCAAGAGCACAGCCTGGTGGGCCTCACTCACTGTGAGACGCTGGACACATTCCTGCACCCCTCCATCCAAAGAACTTATGAGTAATAGTTTCCACTCTTCCATTGATTCAGTAAATATTTAGAGAGTCCTACTATGTGCCTAGGAGCTCTGGTAGCATAGTGCCTAAAGGCACTTGACTGCTAATCAGAAGGCTGGTGGTTCAAACCCACCAGCCACTCCCTGGAAGGAAGGTTGGGCAATCTACTTCCATAGTGATACCGTCTTGGAAACCCAAGGAGGGGTCGCTATGAGTCAGATCCGACTCCATGGCAGTGAGTTTGGTTTGGTTTTGGTCCGTACCACTGACTGAGGCTTTGACCCTGTCCCTTGCCCGTCCCTTCTGCCCAGCCCCCAACCCCAGGCATATGCATACCTTCTGGGCATCAGCCTTCACCTCTCCCCTGGGCTCTCTGCACAATGATGATTTATTTCCCTGCCTCCCTGAAAGACTTGGGCTCCAAGGGCAGCAAAAAAGATTTGGATGAGCTCCAAGGAAGGACTTCCTCCTCTTTTTATCAGTCACAGCTGCTGGGGGAAAGGAAACAGGGTGCATTTCCCGCAGAGTTAAAGAATTCTGGAGCTGGAAGAAGTCTCTAAACTGGTCTAGGCCAGAGCTTGTCACCCTCTGTTGACAGATATTCATTGTAAGAGATGGATTTTACAAAGAGGATCCGGCCACTCAAGTGCGGAGTCTGTACTTTGCAAAAATTGTGGGGACTTCTTAGAAAGGAGTGTACACAATGACTTGGGCCTATGAGGTACAGAAGTGAGCATTTGTTTTGAACGAGGAAATAAATCCCCATAAGTTACACACCTTAGAAAGCTGACAAATATCACATAACAAAATCAGAAAAATAAGGTACTGACACACTGCTGGAATGTGTTTTTTCCTACAATTTTTACTGCGTGTTCTTCATATGGCAATACTTTTATTCTGTTTTCTCAAAAGAGAAAGAAAAGTCAGCCTTTTAGCATGGTCGATCAAGAAAATTCCTATAGATTAGAAAAATTTCCTCAGCTTCATAGTCTGATATTTGTATTGTCGTGTAAATCTTACATTTTTAAGATTCTCACATTGTGACATTTAAGGTTGTCGTCACATCTGGGGAGACCAAACTCTGCGTATAGTTTCATCAGTGTTGTTGTTGGGTGCCATCAAGTCAGGGGTGCTCACACCAACCCCAGGTTTGGCAGAACGAAGTGAGTCACTGCTAGATTTTTTCAAAACAAAATGTGACATCATAAGACGTGACCATGTGTATCATGGTGTACAGAAAACACTCATCACACACGCAGATGTACTTACTATTTCTAGTACTGCTACAGGCTTGTGCCCTACAGCAGAGAAAACCAGAACCCACTGCCACGGAGTCCATTCCAACTCACAGCACCCCTAGAGGACAGAGTAGAACTGTCCCATAGAGTTTCTGTGTTAGACTGGGTTCTCTAGAGAAATGAAACCAGTAAAGCTTATACATAGAGAGAAAGAGAAATTTATCTTAGGAAAACGGCTCACACACTTATAGAAGCTGGCAAGTCCAAAGTTCTTGGATCAAATGTCAAGCTGGAGGCTTTTCCCAACTCTCACAGCTGCAGGGGCTGAGGAGCTCAAGGTTGGCAGGCAGTAAACTGGCTGTTGACTCCAACAAATGATGAATCCAAGATCTCCAAGCC